TTATACATTGGACTGTTAACTGAAAGGTCAGCAGTTTGAAGCCACCAGCCCCGTGGGAGAAATATGGATGATGCTTTCTACTCCTGTAAGAGTTAGTCTTGCAGAGCCATGGAGCAGTTCTACCCTGTCCCATGGAGCCGCTCTGATTCTGGATGAGGTCCATGGCAGGGAGGTTTGAGTGTACTTGCTTCCACTCATTTGGTCAGCGGGGTGGTGTGTACTCTGGTCCCATATAATGCTCCCTAAGCCCTAACACTATCGATTTTTATGTGAATAGATTGGTCTATGTCTTCATGAACTTTTGATTTTTTAAAACCCTTTCCCTACGCATCTCTAATGGTTGATAGCAGACCCAGGACGTTTTAAATGTTGTCCAATGGTTGCAGAATTGAATAAGTTAGACAGTGGGAGTCACTGATATTTAAAATGTCTTTTAATATGTAAGAGAGGTCTTTTAAGCAGTAGAAATTCCGTGTGAATATTTTTTCTTAACCACTTTGCTGAGAAGTTCATTCAAGTAAAAAAATCTGTTGCCTGTCATATTCCATGAAAAGTTTTGTCGAAATTATTGTGTATGATAGCTTGATGCAATTTTTATTGCATCAACTGTCCAACATTATTTTTGCTTTTCATTTTCCTGGGGTAGTTTGAATCAACTTTGTTTTGTTTTTATTCTAAATATTTGCATATTTGCTGGAGTGATCACATGACCTACGCTATTATTCCTGCCCTGTGGGGGGCTGTGAGCCCGAATTGACTTGATTGATGGCTTTGAGTTCGGTTTTTGTTTGGTTGTTGGATCGATAATGGTAGTGCTTCTTTTCTTTTTTAAAGAAAACGAAACAAGAACTAACTAAGCCCATTGCCACGAAGCTAATTCTGACTCCTAAAGACCCGACATAGGGTTTCCGGGATCGTAAATCGTTACAGTAGCTAGCTCCAACTTTCTCTTTTACAGCAGCGTGTGGGTTTATACCACTTTGCAGTCCAATGCGTTCCGACCAGTGCCCACAGGCTTAGCACAATTCCTTCCCGAAGGTCTGGTGAGCGGTAGTGCATCTGCACATCCGCATGCGTGTACAATACACGTGAGAGTACAATTTTGATTTGTGCTTTCTATGTATTAACGTATTCCAATCCCAAAACCATTACCTTAAAGTCCGTTCCAACTCATAGGGACCCTAAAGAGAGTTTCTGAAACTAAATCAGATGAGCTGGTGGGTTTGAATTCCTGACCTTGTGATTCAGAAGCTGATGCCTACACTTCCACACCATTAGGATGCTTTTTATTAATATATACATTACAGTTTTACTGATTATGAGTGATTTATACACCTCAACTTTGTATCCTTTTAGAAATAGAGTTCACTTTTTTATGTTGTCCTAAAATTTTGTTGCTTCTCAGATCATAGGAATTCATTGAGATGTATTTACGATCCATTTTACAGACCAAGAAAGAGGAGAATCCCCATGTGATTTGATGAGGTAGTATTGGAGAATTCCAGTTTATGGGGACAGGATCCTAGAGGATAATAAGATGTTCATGAGAGAGAGGTGGGCAAGTGAATTTGAGATTCTAGTGGGAAATGTGTTATGCCCTAGAACGAGATTTCAATCAGGAAGGCTATGAAATAGGGCAAGGGGAGAATCCAATGGTACTTTGGATTGAAAGAAATAAGATAGTTTTGAAAAATACATTCCTAAAAGATGAGTCTAGTGAACTCAAATTTATTTAGTCATAATAATCAAATTTATGATGTTGAAAATAATTCTGACACTTCATAAACAACCTTTCACATCCTGTTGTTAACATACTTCATCTTGTTATTAGTAAAATATTGTCAACAAATAGAGACTAATATATAAAAGAACAACAAAAACAAATACAACTGTATTTGAGTTGATTCTGACTCATAGCAACTCTATAAACAGAGTACACCTGTCCCATAGGGTTTCCATGGTTGTCTGTCTTTGTGGACTCTGACTGCCACATCTTCTCCCATGTGGTTGCTGGTGGATTCAAACTACCAAACCTTTAGTTCACAGCAATGTTTTAACCAGTGAGCCAACATGACTCAGTAGCAAAATCTTTATCAAGAAAAACAATCTAGTATAACTAGCTTCACTATATATGACATATTTCAATTTTACACTAAAGAAAACAGTCAGGAATGGCTTTTCATTTGTCATTGAATTATATATTTTCCACTACTTGCTTTTAAAAATAATTGTATATATATATGTAATTGATAGATTAATGAGACGTTATAGATTTGTGGAAAAGAGAAAAGTAATGAAGAAAAAGCTAAATAGGCTCCAATGATCAACAGGTAAAATATGTTCAATATTTCTAAACTATATCATGCTTTATTATATTTATTATCTAGCTGACAATGAAGCTTATAAAAGTTAATCTAAAAGATATGTCATAATCATACCCCAAGATGGAAAATTCAAATAATTTTAGTTGCCATTCTATTCGTAATTGGAAAGGACAATTTGTATGTTGTTTCTTTCAAATAGTAACATTTTTTATTATTAATCTTCAGTTCTAAAGATTACTATGAAAAAAAAAGATTACTATGTATTTAAAATAACAGGGTTGAAGATTTTCAAAATATTCCGCCATGGTGGCATGGTGGTTACTAGTTCAGCTGCTAACCTCAGGGTTGCAAATTAGATAGCACCAGCTGCTCAAGGGGAGAAAGATGGGACTCTAGTCTTGGAAAGATTTACCCTCGCAGAAGGCCAGGAGGTAGTCCCGCTCTGCCTTAGGAGGTCCCTGTGAGGCCGAGTGACCCGATGGCACCGAGTTGTTCTTCATGAACTGTGCCTATGTTGCCTTCAGACCCCTTACATTTAGATTTCTTTTGTATATTTTGGGTACACCTTATATGAAATGTGTAACAAATGGAACTATAGGTAATAATACATACCGCAATATATATCTTAGCAGCTAGATAACTTATAAAATTACTGCAGAATGTGCAAAATAAATAGGAATGACTACCTGGCCAATTAGCTTGAGTACTGAAACCTGTTGCTGTCTGTTGGGTCTTCCTTGCAGAGGTTATTATGTGCTCAGCTAACCCAGTGTCCCATTTATCCTCAAAATATCTTCTTGTGACTTTTAAAATACCATTAATTTGTGAGTGACTATTAACTTTGTTTGCTTATGGGTATATAGCTGTGTTCTTTAATGTAATGTATCGACCCATCAAATCAATTGAAGACCGAGAGCCCGAGGCTGTAGTGCTTCTCATAAACACCACTTAAAAAAGAAAAAGAAAATACAATGAGCATATCATGAGCGCCTGCTGTTTTGATTGACTTGGTGGACCGTTTCGATTTATGATTTGGTGATGCAGGTTGGACAATTGCAGAATTAAATGGAGTTTAATTTTATTCTAAAGCCTCTTAAGTTCCAAAGATGTGTTAGCTAGAACACAAGGCAATGACACAAGGCAATGAGTATCCTAAAGATTTTGAGTAGAGGTCAAACACTGACCACTGCTTTGTTACCACCACGAAGAGAAACAAGACAATACCAAGCGGGGGGAGGCCCATCAGAGCAACTGAAGAAAAGTGAGAAGATTTTCAAAATAGAAAGCATAAAAAAATGGAAATCTGCACTGAGATGATCTGTGTCCTTGACACCTACTGTATGTTAGCAGAGAAAATGTGTGCACAATCAGAAGAGATGTGGACAAATACTTCATATGGTTCAATTTCTTTCCTTTTATCACCATAAACATTTATGTATGCGTACACCCTTACACCTCCACAAACAAGATGATTCCAGGGCATTGAAGTTGACCAGAAATGGAAGAATTAAGTTAATTAGCTACAACCACAAACAAAGTTGCACTGCAAATCTGTTCATGTGTTTTGAGTATGCATTGTATATGCCTTAGCTAGAGATACAGAGCGAGAAAGGAGAAGTTCAGATTGTTTACACAATGATTAAATTATTGCATAGTATATTTAGCTAGTCTAAGCCCAACTCCCAGGTGCCCATTAATAACTGACAAATAATCCCTCCTTGGGTGGAGGGATATTGTAATAGGGCACATAATGTGGAATACCTAATTTATTTAATGAATCAAGCTAAATTTACTGAAGGCAAAGTTTTTTTTGACTTTTTAAGAGTTTAAGCTATTGTAATTTCATCTTATTTTTAAATTCCATGTTGCTTAAAATTCCCCAAATGGCTAAGGAGCAGAAATAAAATTGCGAATGTTTAGGAAAGCAGAATTCAATGTTGTTACTATTTTCACAATGTCAATAGTCTTATACAATGTCACTACTGTTTTAATTGAATTTATTGCTTATGCAACTACTGTGATAAGTTATATGTATTTTCGTATATTACTGTAATATTACCGAGGAGACTATGAAAGATTAGAGTGAGCAAAAAACTGCCCAAGTGCACAATCTTCGGGACTTAAATTGAAGTCTACTGGGCTGAAGACCAGCTCTTGACTGTTAGAATTCCACTTACATTTGACAGTGTTAACATTTATTAGCAATCTCAGCTCCATATATCAGTATCAAATCTGATGTATGTTCTTTTTTCTATATCGAATTGTTCAAAACTGATCCTACGGACACATAAATAATCAAGTGCAAGGCCTAAAATTATTAAAATGCTTTTGGCTTTGACTTTCCAGGAAAGTAAGGAATCCATTTGGAATAATCACAATAGGCCTACCTTGATCTTTTCTGAAGTTCCACTAGAAAAGGCGATTCCTTTCACTTTGTGTTTTATATTGAGGGAAAAACCTGCTGTAAAGTTGTTTAAATAGCTGCAACAATCTCCCAGAAGTGGGTACGTAGCATTCATGGAAGAATTAAAAAGCAATCCGTGATCACTTATGGATTTTGCCTCTACATAAAGTAAAAGAGTATTCTTGGTTCTGGAAGTCATCATTTCACCATTCATACTTGAAGCAGTAGAAGTTGGACAAATCACACAATGTGCAACGTCTGTCATAGTAAAACATTTATTTGTTAAAGTGATATAGATTATTCAAGATTCTACAGTCTGTTAAATCATGGATGGTGATGTAACATGGATTGATACAGAACTTGATGCCAATGTAGGCTGTTTTCATCTTTCTTTAAAAAAAATATTTGTAGGTCAGAAAAAAAATGTATTTTAAAGGGGGATGAATCATGATCTGATAGAGCCATATCTGCCGGTTTCCGAAAATTCTGCGGTGGCTCCTGTGGAAAATTTCTTCTAGGACACCAGTCCAACAGTTATCCTTGTGAATTGAAACTTTTTTAAAACTTGTATCCGGTAAAAATATCAGTAGTAATTTTTTTCAGGAGACAGAGAAGACATGGTGCTCTTCAGACTAACTCCGGCCTCTGAGAGGAAAGGAAGAAGAAAAGAAAGAGAACACAGAGCTAATAAGATTACTGTCCTAACAATCGAGTTCCCAAATTATAAACACCCAGGTGGGAGATTCTTGCTCCAAAATACCAAATGCATCATAGAGAACAGTAAAGCTATGCACAGCAGGGCTTCCATGAAATTTCAAAATTGGGAATAGCAGAGAACTTCATTTTGAAAAGAAATCTGAGAGAGACAAGCCAAAATAGCTCTGCAGTTGATGGCAAATGTGCATGACATCTTTACCTCTGGTTCTGACATTTATACTCTCAGTGAAGAATAGATCAATGCTTTCACGAGACTGAAAAGTGGACATACTATTTAAGTTAACAAAGATTAGCACTAGTTTTTAGAAATATGAACGCGCTAGATTAAATGTGTTGAACATTTCTATAAGCTGAATGACCTCTATGTTTTACATCTATATTCCACTGGGAGTTTTGTGTAATATTAAAATCATATAAATTAAATGTTTAATGATTGTGAAGAGTATCATTTGTCACCGTTTAATTCTGGACCAAGAGGGCAAGGAAAATAATGGCAAAACAGACACACACACACAAAAAAGCCTCTCTAAAATTAACCTGAGTAATTTTGAAAGAAAATATCAAAGTAATCTATTTTTAAAGTATTTAAATATAAAACTGTGAATGTTTTCCTTCTACTATGGTTTCTCATACTTATGGATATGTGTTTGTAAATTCTATCCATGGTTGATATGGAAAATAATGTTTGAGAAATATAAGATTTCATAATACAAAATAAAAATGTTTCTCTTTAGCATTTAAAAACAACAACCTCTTTATAGTTTCTATTTGAGAATAGGATTGTATAATACATGGCACAAATGAATCATAAATACACTAGAGAAATGAATTCTTACTTAATATTGTAAATCAAATTGATGATGCAGAAGATTTAGATAACTTTTTAATAAAGTTAAAAAAATAATACTAATTGCTAATTTAATAACTTTACGTAGCAAAAGAACATAACTATAGGGATTTATTTTGAACAAATTTCAAATTATTTTGAAATGCAAATTAATGTGTTATATTTGGCTGCAATTATTTTTGAGAATTGACTAGTGATACATATAGAGTTTAAGTGATAAAGGACCAATGTTTTTGCTATACTTAAAAAGTAGTCACCTTGACATTTAGGTATGACTATCAGACTTTAACTGGAAAATACTAAAAATGATGGTCAAATCATATTAAATTACATTGGCATACATCACTAAAATAACATAGCTCATATTGATGATATTGGATGGCAATATATTATTTTTGCATTTTCAATTATATATTCCCTTTGAAGGGAAAATAGAGTGATAAAATATAAAATTTGAAGATAAAGAAAGTAGCAATAGAGTTAAAGATTCAAAATACGTAGAATAAAAAAGGATAGCAAATAATAAAACTAGTGTGATATTATAATTAAATCCTTCTCGAATAGCAAATTGTTTTAATAACATGTTAGTGATTCTAATAGTTGCAAATTGTAAAAGCTCTTTGATTCAACTTTATATTACACAGGATAAAATGGAATAAACTGTGGAAATACAGTTTATAAAAGTCCATTAATTAAAAACAAAATCTTAAGAAGCACCAGCCATTGCCAAGGATTACAGTGGGAGTTCTATGCCTTGAGACTCTTACTATAATTGGCAAACAGGAAGGAGGATAGCAAAAGTATCAGATATTATTGTTGCTGTTGCTACGCGCTAGTAAGTCTGCCCCAATTCATAACAACCCAATCAGATTTTGTTTTTTAATCGCTGAGTTTTGCACCGTCTTCACAGTTGCTGCAATGCTTGAGTTGCAACCACTGTCTCAGCCGATCTGTCCCATTGAGGATTTCCCTCTTGTTTTCCCTGAAGTTCTACTTTATCAAGTATGATGTCCTTCCCAGGGACTGGACCCTACTAATAATTGTCCGAAATATGTGAGACCAGCTAGTAAATCTTATTTCTAAGAAGCATTCTGGCTTCCATACGCATCGCCACCCCCTCAGCTCAAAGCTACTAGCTCTCTCTGGTCTTCCTCATTCTTTGTCTAGCTTTTACATGCAAATGATGGGACGGAAATGAACATCTCTTGGGTTCATCACACTTTAACCCTCAAAGTGACACATTTGTTTTTTGCAACAGATTTGCACATGCAATGCAATATTTGAATTTGCTAATGCTGTTTCCATGGTATTGCTTATTGATCCAAGTAAAATAAAATTCTTGGCAACTTCATTCTTTTCGCCATTTATCACGATGCTTCTTATTGATCCCGTCGTGAGGATTGGTTTCCTCATATTAAGATGCAGTCTATCCTGAAGGCTGTCATCCTTGATTTTCATCCGTATGTACTTCATGTTTGCTTCACTTTTGGCAAATAAGAATGTGACACCTGTATAGGGCAGTTTACTAATGAGATTTTATCCAGTCCCGATAATGTATTCTCCTTTATATAGAACCGCTTCTTGGATTATTTGTTCAGCATACAGATTGAATAAGTATGATGAAAGGATTCAACCCTGACACACATTCATCTTGATTTTAAAGTAACTAGTATAACCTTGTTTTGTTTGAAATAACTGTCTCGATGTAAGTACAGGTTTAGAATGTGCATCATCATGTGTTCTATAGTTCAAATTCTTTACAATGTCAGTCATAATTTGTTCTAAGCACACAATCCAGTGCTTTGTATGGTTAATGAAAAACAGATACACCTCTTTCTGGTATTCTCTGCTTTCAGTCAGATCCATCAGCCATGATAACCCTTCTTCCACATTCACTTCTGAATCCAACGTGAATTTATGTGGGTCCCTGTCAATGCACTGTTACACCAGTTCTTATTATTTTAAACAACATTTCACTTTAGTATCAATAATGTAATTCAATTATTTCTACATTCTGTCGCATATCCTTTCTTTGAAATGGCACACATGAATTTCTTCCAGTTGGTTGGGCAGGCAGCTATATTACAAATTTAGTGTAGGAGTGAGTACCTCCAATGTCACATCCAATTGCTTAAACATCTCATTTGCCATTTTATCAATTTAGGGAGCCTCACTTTTGTCAATGTCTTCAGTACAGGTTGGACTTTCCTTTAAATTCCAAGTATTTCCTTCTTCAGTGTCTTCACTCTTTGAAATCATGAAATGCTGCAACATTGACTGCTTCTGTGTGGTACGATGACTTTTTGCATTCTCTCCATCTTCATTTGATGCTTCCTGTATCATTCCATGTTTTGCCCATAGAAAGCGTCAGCACCGTAGCTTGAAGTTTGAATTTGTTCATCAGGTTTTTGGTTTGAGAAATGCGGAGAGTGTTCTTTCATTTTGGTGTTCTAAATCAAGATAGTTTCACATTTCATTAGAGTACTCTGCTTTCTTGAACTGCTCTTTGAAGTCTTCTGTTTACTTCTTTTATGCCATCATTTCTTCCATCCTCTTTAGCTATTCTACTTTCAAGGGCAAGTTTGAGAGTTTCTTCTGATATCCTGGCACTCAGAAAAGACCTTCAGTGTGCCACGTCACGTCATAAAGCTAATTGTCCTGGGCCTGTCGGAGGAAGGGGGCTCTTGAGAGCCTGGGACAAAGTCCTGGTTAAGCTGCACAAGAAGCAGGCTGGGCTGAAGGTGCTCCGTGCCCACAGTCACACCATGAAGCATGATCTGCTGAGGCAGGCCAAGGGGAAGAGGGTCCCGATGGCAGACACTGAAGCGATGGGTGGCTTCTGGATGATCATGGCTGCCTGGCAGAGGAAGTGGACTCTCACCCAGAAGGGGAAGGGCCAGGCCTAGAAGGCTCTGAAGCAGCGGTTCTCAACCTGTGGGTCACGACCCCTATGGGGGGTGGAACGACCCTTTCACAGGGGTCACCGAATTCATAACAGTAGCACAATGACAGTTATGAAGTAACAACGAAAATAATGGTATGGTTGAGGGGTCACCACAACATGAGGAACTGTATGAAAGGGTCATGCCATGAGGAAGGTGGAGAACCACTGCTCTGAAGGAGTTCGCAAGCATGCTAAAGCTTTTGTATGGTTAGCCTCACCCAACCTCCGGCTCCCTGCTGCCCAGCCCGAAGAAGGTTAGCGAGGGAGGCCCACTTCCTTCTTGGGTTCCCTAAAGCTACGGCTGTAGTTGTCCTGCCAAATGAGGGCAGCTTCTCTGGAAATTGTTGCCCTTCCCAGAGGTCTTTTGACCTGGCTCTGCATGGCCAGGACACAGGAGACATGGCTGGCTGGTCCCCACCTCTGCTTGATCTCTCAGATGAGAGGCCTTATTTTCTGGACCTTTCTCTTCCCCCTGTACATTTCTTCCCCCAACCCCCATCCCTATCACACCCCTCCCCTCCTGTTCATTTTCATGGACTTCTCCTTTGTAGATTTATAGAGTACAAGTTTAAGTTTAAAGTGGCTGATTTTATTTTTTTAGATGTTTAGGGTATAGTAATGAATAATGTGTAGTTTACACTCTACAGTGTAGTGATCAATAATAAATATAATACTTTTTTTCTAATGAAGAAAGGTTGTAATCTACCTGTAGTAATTGATAGGAGGGCAGACTCTGAAGACAGGTGCATGTGTGTGTATGAAGGAGGTGTGAACACCTCTGGTGATTGTTTTCTGATTAAATTTCATAGTGAAATATAAGTAACATTTTTCAGGTGAAGAAAGTATTGAAGGTTTGAGAAGAGAAAAAAAGCAAGAAAAGGCTCCATGAAAGAATGAACTAGGTTAATATCAGAAGACATAAGTCTTCTCTGAGGATTGACTTATTTTAATTTAGGCTTTAATGTTTTCTTATTTTATCTTCTTCTTTACTGTGCCTTAATATGCCACATAGGGAGCTCTGGTGGTGGAGTGTTCACATGTTGAGCTGTGGTCCTCAAAGTCAGCAGTTCGAAACCACCAGCCACAGATGGGCTTTCTGCTTCTGTAAATAGTCACCGCCTTGGAAACTCACGCGGGCAGTTCAACCTTTGTCCTGTCGGATTGCTAATGTGATTGGTTTTTAATGACACTTTGGTTTCTGCATGTATAGGACATTGGTCTTGCAAAATTCTATCATTCAATCTTCCTTCATATTGTCTATCAGCAGGATATTTTCCAACTTCTGATTCCTCTTTGTTTCTAAGTCATGCATTTTAATAATCAATATTTAGCAATGCATCTGGACTGCATGTTTGACCAATTTCCGACCACAGAATTTAACAAAAAAATATTTTAAATTTCTTCATACTGGGTACTAGTGGTTGGAGGGTGAACTTGAATGAAAGTGATAATACTTAGGATATATATCTTTACGCTTTCAATTTAATTTTTTACAACTACATATCTCCTGGCTTCATACTTCATACATTCCGTGTCACAATCACTAGTTCGCTATTGCACCTTTTCATTCTGAGTCAGGAACATCAGCAAGTGGAGATCTTGAAAAGTTTGCTCCACCCACATCATTTAGATTGAATCTACTTTGAAGTTGCAGTTACTAACCAGTTGTGTGTTGATTTCATTCTAACACGAGAGGCTTGCCTTCCAGCGTTTTATCACTCAATGTGCTATGGCTCTTCATAAGTTTTCTGTGGCCAAGTTTGTTCAGTAGTAGACCAGCAAGTTCTTCTTTCTAGTTTACCTTTGTTTGGCCAGTCTGTTGAAGGTTTCCACCATAGCCTACCTGCCGGAATTTGAAATACTAGGGACACAGTACTCAGGGTTGAAGCAATGTGCAAGGCACCACACTGGCAGTTGAGTGGTGGTATGTTATTATGTAGAATATGCAAATGAATTCTCTTCAAATTTATTTAGCAAGAGCTAAAATCTTAAAAATATTTCATAAAAATCTGAAAATAGATTACAACATAGTGAGAGTATTACAAAGATGAAACAGTAGATAATGATTATCCTGATAAAATACAATAAAACAAAAATAATTACTTGGGTAATTTAGGGTGTTTTAGTAAAGTGAAAGGATATCATGAAAGACCCTCTGAGCAGGCAGTTTTATTATCAGTGTTACCAAGTAAAAGGCAATGAAAGCTACCTGGAACATAGAGATGAACAATTGCTGATGTTGAATGGATTGTGGAAAAATGCAATTATACCCCTTCTCTGAATGGAATTAATAAACGTGTATGATATTTATCTTATATAATTATTAAGTGATGATTTCTAAAGATCATTGTTGACACAAGAAGCCTATTATTTATTTATTTTTATTTCTAATCTGGTGTAGTAGTTCAAAATATGTGTCCCAAATTTTGTTTTGTTATAAAAATAATGAAATATTTTCTATTATCTAGAAGGCTAGTGTAGATAATTATGGCATGTGTTTTATTTCTTGTGAATGCATATCCCCCCCACACAAGTAACACATATTTTATGTTATGTATATATATATATATATATATACATATCTATATATATTATATGTGATATAAATATGCCAAATGCTTTTACTTATGACATTTCAGTTTAAATGCACACACACTGGGCAAATCTGAACTCTCACACCTGGCCTGTTTAACCAGGTTCATTTTAAGCATAAAAATCATTGTCAAATAGAAGATTAATTAACCTGTAAGCTCCAGATTAACTATGGAGTAATTATCAGCATTCTCTCCTTGGTATTTAAATTATATTAAGGCTCCATTAGTGTAATTAGAATCATATACTCTTATCTATAAGGATCATATATGCAACACTCAAAAGATTTAAGCTCATTATGTTTTTATGCATATTCAGGAAGGCTTCTAAACAAGAAAGCCAGCCTATGAGACACTCTGGTTGGTAGAACTGAAATACGTGTTCTGACCCTATAGTCATCATCAGAAAACCAACAAACAAACAGATTTTCCCAGCTGATACATCAGATCGATTAGCTACAGAAAACACAGATCCGAGAAGCTGCAAGCTCAGGAGTTCTCTGCTGCGCTCTCTCTCACTTGGTCCCCAAGGCAGTAAATGCTGCCAACAGTGTGAAAGACGCTCATATTCAGAGCACAAGGGCCATCGCACTTCAGGGGGACATCATGGATTGGTTCTGCAGATAATTGTACAAATTATATTCCTGCTATAGCAGAAATAATTTACCAGATATCAGGAACAATTATATTGATGTCATATGGTAATACAAATCTGAAAATAGAAAAGATATGTGGTGCGGAGTTATCTAATGAATGATGCAATGCCACTAAAATATGTAAAATTTATTCTCTGCCTATTAATTTGCTTTCGTTTTATGTCCTGTAGAAAAAAGAGAAAGTTGTTGGTTAAAACTTAGTTGAACATTAGAATGGGGTCATTTGTTTCATAAATGGAACTAAAGAAACACTAAATGTGAAGTGTTTTTAAAGGTGACATATTTTACACACACACATTTCATGTAAATCTAATAGAATGCACATACTTATACTCATGGATTTATTACATTGTGAAACAGCAATTACTCAAAGATGATCCACAACATTTTTAGTACTTGTGTCTGAGTGATAGATTATGACAGGTTCATTGTGTTTTTTAACTGATTTCTAAAATATCTATAATTAATATTAATTACCTTAGGAAGAAAGTAAGTCCTTAAGATATCCAATATTTATCATAACAAACATATTACTTTTCTTTAAATTTACCTTTAAAAATTTGATAAAATAAGTAAATAAAATATATATAATTCATGAAAATTTTGGAAATCTCATTAATTGCTCAATTGAAAAATTACTCAGATACTAGACTTTCCTGCTTCCAAATTTTAGCATAACATTTAGCATCATTTTAGATCTTGCCTCTGATGAACTAACCATTCAATTCCTAATCCCTTTCTACAAAAGCATAACTTTGAGGTCAGTTAGATGTAGAGTCAGATGCTGAGTAATGCTAATTAAACGTTTTAATTGAGAGAAAGAGAGAAAAAAGGTATGGGAAGGAGATAAGGGAGAAGAAAGCAGAAGAAAAGAGAGAACTGAGGAAGAAAAATAAGTAAAAAAGAGGAAAGTGATACATAATGCATCCTTTTGCAAATCAATTAAATAACCCCTCCCAAAAAGACAAAATAAGAAACAGAACACAAAGCATTTGCCAGGCATCATGCTATTGATTGCATCCAGTGAGCCAGCTGTTCCTGTTTTGCAACATTAGAAGGCGATCCTAGATGAGTAAAGAAATGATGCATAGAAATCATTTTGTGCAGCTCCTCTTTGGAATTCATTATGGTAAAACCTGACAGACTGACCAAGTTATTGTAATTTTTAAAATATCAATTGTTAAATACCCTATTTTCACTTCCACCAAATATATACATAGTTCTTTTTTAGAACTTTATAAGGGTGTATGTATATATATATTTTTTTTTTCTGTGCCAACCCTTAAGCAAATGGCTGCTGCTTCCAGCTGTTTGAACAGATTGTTCAAGTGCTGCTCTGCTCTAAAAAACAAACTTTCTGATCCAATTAAAATGCAGGAATCAGACACTCATTTGTAACTTAAAAATAAAAAATAAATTAAAAAACTCTGGAAGAGTAATTCGTTGCTGCCAAAAGGAATACCATGAACATTTCATAGATAGTCCTTTGCTCCATTTTAAAATGGTTTCATTCATTTTAGGTTAACCATGAAATGTTCCGTTCATCCACTTCCAATGTAGCATAATGCGTCATCTCAGCCTGGATGAGAATGAGGGGTCAGGGATTGGTGCAAATACATAGTTATAAAGTTCTCATCTCTCCACTGGAAAATAGCTGTAAAAATGTGTATTACATTGTGTGTAGCTACAAGAGTGACTCCAAAAATAAAAGATACCATTGTCACCCCTAGTTTTACTTCGTAGAGTAGGAATCATAAATATTCAGCTACCCAGAAATATTTCTAAATTTAGAAGATAGAAATTCAATAAACAAAAATGGATTCCGGTTTGTCCTGCTGAGCACTCTGAATACATTTTAGTAGACAATTTCAGCCAGTTACACAGCTAGCAACCTAAAATTAAAATGTCATATATAAATTAATAGATACACGTCATGAGGTATACAACAGGTAACAAGAATCTCACCTGTGTTTCCTGGACAATCTGGTCAACATTAGTCAGCAAAGCATCTGGGAATAAAATTTTCAATGTCATGAACAATTCCTTTTATAAAAACAAACCCTAAAATATTTCTTACTGGATTCTTGATGTTTTCTTTTTACAACGATTTTTCCACCTTTTTTTTCCTTTCTAACTTACCAGGTCTCAGTTTAATTGTTTTCCACAATACATGGCCTGATACATAATATTATACATGTAGAATTTAAAATATTGTTCTAACAGTTACAACAGGTAATTATCAAAATGAAATGTGCTTTTCCTTCAGGAGTTCAATAAGAGCATCTAGATGCTATTTCTATTTTCCTCCTGAAAGTTAACATTTCAAATACAGAATCACATAAGATGTATAGCCAAAAATAAATCCAGAGGTGTGAAATAGAGAATCTAAATCAGAAAAAGTAATTCCATCATATTCACCATAGAGTATAAATCAATTGTTTGATCATTTTAGATCATCCAGTATCTTCCAAATAATCTGATGTACAGCAAGTGCCAATTTATCCTTCTGTAATACAATAAAACACAAAGACTCCTAGTCACGTCACTACAAAGTGACATGCTGAGAAGAAACATTGTTTACCTAAGGAACATTTCCCAGAGGTAACAGAGGAGTGTATAAGGTAGGACAAAGGCTCAAAACCATAGATTCTAATATTATTTTAGTAAGATATGCCTACAAAGCCACGATAGTCAGACACCAAATATCTTACTGCTACCTCAAGGTATCTGATTCTATTAATAACTGAAAAAAAAGTAGAAAAACAAATAGGCCAGACTGTGCTTAATTTGATAATGTATTCATCTATCTGTAGACTAAACATAAATCATACTCATCCAACCAAAATGTTTTCATTTTTCATACTTTTAGGCAGATTTGTATATTTCATTATCACTCCACGACACCCAGATTACACATATTGTTAAAGAGAGCTTCTGAAATCATAGATATTTTCAAATCAGTAGATAGTTGTAGTACAGAAACACACAATTATAAAAAGCATTTAAAGTAATTGTCTGATAAGATATGCTAAATAACACACCTAGCATTTTGTTTGTTAGTTTTTTCATACTGAAGAAGCTCAAGCCATTATATAAAATGACTTAAAAAAGAAAGAAAACATAATTAAGAACAAAGAAGTTAAACAATATTCACTCGGTGCATAGCACCAACAAACTGCAAATCGCATGTGTCAGGTGACGTCAACATAACAGGTTAAAAGGAATAATGAAAAGAAATAAAGGAAGAAAATTGGCAAGAAAGACGGAATATTTTAACCATAATTTATAGAACACAAAATGTTACTCTGTTACTTAATAAAAATTCATATTCGTGAACTGTTCTCCCTGCCTCTCTTAATATATTCATTTATCAGTTGATTCATGCGTTCACTCCTTTGAACACCTCACCCATTTTTGCTGTTGAGTGGATTCTGACTTCTGGGACCTTATTTTCTCAAATAGTTCTTCTTCAGTCACTTAATGCTGAAGACATCTATATGTCTTATATATCATATATATGAAGATATATAAATGTCTTCATATATATCTTAAGGAAAATTTGACCCTCCTCGATAAAGCAAACATTTTTTTGACTTCTCAAAATAAAATATTTTTTAAAGGAACACAGGTTGGAATTTCACTTTCTACACTTCCACATTTTCTCAGAACAAATGTTCAAGAATATGGTGAATGTACCCTAAAAATATTCAGTCCAAAAAAAGAAATTGCTTTGAATGGGTAAACGCAAACACTAAAGTTTATGTGATCAAATACCATAAAGTTTAAATGTCTATGAGAAAAAATTAATTTAAATGTGTAAGGTTTCATTAAAAAAAGAAGCAGAAAATAGATTTTAAAAATAGAGACAACTGGCAAACGTAAAATAATTTAATCAATAGCTTTCATGGATTGGCTTGGTTGAGCTTATGCTTCATGATTTCAAGTCATGTTTACTCTTGATCACAATCTTCATAATATCAGAAATTCCTTGGGAATTCAGTACCTTAAGTCTTGAAAGGTTTAGTGTATGCTGCATTTTTAATACTAGACTGATGCATGCTAAGAGGGGAAAACAAACTTTTGTCAGCAAGCACCTTCTGAGAAATTATGCAATTGATGCTAATAAAAATTACCTTGTTGGGATTATTAAAATAATACTATTGAAAACAGCAAGTCTTCACTTTAAGTAGTGTTTTTGATATTACAGCTGGTATCATCTCATTTATCCTTTACAAGAGGAACCATATACCTAAATAATGAATAAGTGTTATTACTTTGAAAATATGAAGGGTATAGTTTTCAAAAAGAGGGGGAAAAAGAGAGAAAGATTTAGGAAATGCTCAAGATAATGTGATCCCATTAAATATGTGTTTTCCAAAACTAGCACTGAAAATAATCTGTAGCTGCTTTAACTTTCTACACTTGGAATATCATCATGGTAAATCATGTATGGTGTGATGTGTATCCTTTGAGTTTGCATTAACTGTTATTTTTGTATGTTTTTCTACCAGGAGGACATTAAAATAATGATTCACACATTCCTCATCTGTGTCTTAAGTAGTATTCAAGTGATCTGAAGGAATTAGCAAACCTTTTTAACTTACTCCTTGGGAGTACTTTTCATACACAAAATTCCCATCTCATTATACTCTGGCTATAATTTCATACTCTTTTGTACAAGGTCTGGGTTACCACATGGACCTTATTCTCAAAACACATCACTTCATATAAACCCATTTACTTGTCTTTAATAAAACATCATCAAGTGAGTCTATGGTGCAAATTTTTCCATGAGTAAAAAGGAACATTTATCTCCTGTCCTTCATTAAAATGAATTTCCAAGAACGCCACATTATCAAGCAGCAATATTACTGCCTGACTAAATTTAAATCCATTTTTAATGATGTATTTCCACTGAACTGGTTGATTCCTAATTAAATTGCATCACAGTTTCAGTTCAAACAATACAAACATTTACTCTTAGAAAGATTCAAATTCAGAATAACAGTGCAGAAGGGAAAATCTAAGCCACTATCTGGTTAATGAGCAATGAATTTATATTGCCTATAAATGCAATTTGAAGCCCATTAGAAGTTTTCTTTTATTTTACTTGCTGTTAAAAATAAGCATCCCTTTGACAAGGGAAATGTGTTTTTTCCTTGCTCTCTTTAAACTACATTAAGAAAAATATAAAACTCAGTCATTCAGCTAATAGATATTGAGTGAATGAAAACACCTTCATATGCCCATATACATGGAATTCTTAAATATCTGTGACTGAACTGGATATTCAGCTAGATCCCAAACAAATTGTATTCTCTCCTCCTATCTACTTGGAAAGGAAACAAAAATTTAAAAATGGTGTTAGAGATGAGAAATAGCATAGAGCCATTATTAAGGCACCTGAACTGATAATGTTTAGAAGGGCATTTCTGGTAACACTGTCTGAGTATACTTATTGAATATTTTACTTGATATAACATAGCAACACAGAGTTGCTTGCTACAACATTTGCCTAAAACAAAGGCAGCATTATTGTCATTGAAAGAAAACATACAGTCTCCTTATTTAAAACTGCCAATTGTCCAAAGGTGTTCCTTTACAGAATTGAAGAAAAATTATGCAAGATTTTTTTCCCCTTCCTATAGCAACTCTCATTTTGCAATCTGGTCTCCCAGAACCTTTCAGAAGCCAGTCCTAACACACGGAAAGACACTGCTGTGGCTGCTGTGCCTTGCTTTTCCCCACCTTGACCATTGTATCTCTGCGTGTGTGTGTGTGTGTGTGTGTGTGTGTGTGTGTGTGCAAACCTTTAGAAGGTTTATATATAACCCTGGCTTATGCCGTGTATCATTTCCTATGTGAGTTTTAAAAATGATTTTTTTTCATCAAAAGAAAAAAAAAAGGTTAGACACTGCTTTCCAATATACACTCCGAATTTATAGGAGTTGCTCTTCTACTATGCCCATCTGAACTGTTGGACTGAATTAACATCCCATTCATAGACATGCTTCTTTTAGCAACCAGTCCAGATGAGTCCGGTGAGTTAACATTACCACAGTATTCCTTTAATTCTCCATTCAGGGAATACCTGCGCCTGGCTCGGGATCTCTCAGCAGGCAAAGTGAGAAACTTACTTGGCTTTGAATGATGTGCTCTTTTGGACGTCGGTCCTTCTGTCACAGAATCAGGAGGTCGACTCGCTAACTGCAATGCAGTGGAGTTGTTCCGGTTAGTGTTTGGGGACTCAATATTTGTGACAGCTTCATTTTGTGGTTCGGTGGTTGGCTTCGTGCCAGTCTTTCTTTTCTGCTTTTGTAACACAGAAGTGCTTGAAGTCCAGGTAGGAGGCAAAGCAGAGGTAGTGCTCGAGGGATCCTGACTTAAACAAGTGTCGGAAGGCTGGCTCAGACTGTCACTGGCAACTTTACAACACTGCGCATTTTCTTCACGCCCCACCGCTTGTTTGGACATGGATTGGGGCAGTGTGACACTGCAGCCTTGCATTTGGGCTCCATTAGTTTGAGAATAAACATTGCTGACCTTGGTGACCTTGTGTTGCCCATTATTGTTACAAACCTTATACCGGATCATTAGAATGATGATGAAAACCAGCACAGATGCTACAATGATGCCACCAATAATAATAATCATGGTGCCTCCCAAAAACTGGGACTGCATGAAGTGGCAGCGGACATAATCCTGCTCCGTCGTAAACTGGATGCAACCCACGACCCTTGTGGCCGTGAGGGAAGTGATGCCATCGTCATATATTGCCAAGACACACAAGTCGTACATGGTTCCAGCAGCCAGGTTATTGACCAGAAAAGTTTTGCTCGTAGGAGGTATCATTCTGGGGGACAATGGAATTTGTGTTAATATTTAAAACAAAGCAAAACCGACTACACACAGAGAATCAGTATGACTTCAGTTCTGTATCATTACAGTGCTTATTAAGATAAGCACATTATAACAGATATGAAATGTAGGGAAATGATCTAATCTTCTATTTACCTAGATAAAATGACAAAAAGTCATTGTAGGAGTCTGCATTATATTAATGGTGCTGCACTATGCCTTGACAAGCCGACTAATTACGTTGCTTGGCAAAGCAGAACTCCTAATAAAAGCCACTGCTAAAAAATCATTTATGACAAATTGCTTTTGAAAGGTGTGACTGTGGCATTATCTGACTACTAAACAAATCCATTTAGCACTTACAACACCTCTGTGACTAAAAGCCAATTTGAAGGAAGGGAAAACACTGACAATCACATTAGAAACTGAAATGGAAAAAGCTTTTCCCAGCATATATTTGCTAAGTCAGTTCTAAGCAGCTGGGGCTTGTACCCACTAACTCGATCTTTAACAACTAAGATGATTAGTAAGATTAAAGTGCGCTATTTACAGACCTCGTGCCCTTCCTATACCTTCAACACTTGGTTTCTAGTAGTTCCTTATCTATGCGAGGAAGATGAAACTGGCTGAGCAACGTGGTTCAGGAAGCATGAGCAGGTTAATGTTGCTGACCAGGGCATGTATTCCTATGCCCGCTGGAGTCTGATGAAAACCTCCATTGGAACACAGTGTCCAGGGCTTAATACGACATGGTAGACAGTTCTGAATTCATTACATCTTACAATAATTTGCCTCTCAATGCCTATTTTCCAATACTTTCTCTATCACTTTGGGGAAAAACAAGATGTAAAATGAGATGTAAATTAAATAAGATGTAAACTAAGATTTAATTTGGTGAGGAAAAAAGTTTGAATTTATATTTTTCCCCTGAAAGTGAGTTTCACAAATTTCACAACATGACAATGTTCATCTGTTATCTACCCAAAACAATATATTCTAGATACACTAAGAAACTTTCAGGATAGAGTAAGTATTTGCTATTCAACTGGCTATCATTTAATGAGTGCATGATAATGCCAAGCATTACTAAACACATGGTATCCATTATAACTCAGTCTTTACAAGGACTTTACAAAATAGGCATTATCACCATTTTATAGATGACAAGTTAGGGTTCAGAGTTCAAGCCACTTACTCAAGTCACAGAGAATCTATGGTCAATATAGGACAAACCCTTGGGATTTGGAAAATAAATCTGACCTATCTCATAGAATTAATGCTTAAAACACGTAGGCTGTACAGTATCTAGGCACTATCTGCCTAGTATAAGAAGGCAGTGAAAGGAAATGGTATTTTTTTTAATTGGTAATCAGTTAAAAAGCCTTTAGCTAAAGTGAAGTGTTGGGCAATACATGAGAAAACTACTTTTTGTTGAGCTGCAAGCATCGTAGTCTGTATCCCTATACTTTGAGTGGTGAGGGGGATGCCACCCACCACTTAGTCTAATCTCGTCCTTAGAAAAATGAAGAAATTAAAAAACAGCCAGGTAGAATCTTTTCTAGGATTGATCATATAGCTAGCTAATTCAGTTTTGTATTTTTGTTACCCGCACATGCTTATTTTTAAAGAATACGCTCATTCTTGTACCTGAGAATAAATCTAATTATCTTCAAAACTTCACCTGAATATAAAGAACTGAACTGATCTGATAACTGAAAAGCTTAAAGGCAAAAAGAAATTATTTCAAATCAGTGATTTTGCATCATTTTCTATGGATAATAATATGAGTAAAATTATATGAAGAGGAAAAACATATTTCTAACTCAAACTTGGACAAGATGTGACTATAAATCAATGAGGCTGAACTTCAGAAAAACATACCAGAAATTCTTTAGGTATATGTAAATCCCTCATCAATAATCTAATCTGGAGACTATAGAACCAACTCCAGTGATACTTTCACTGCTCAAAATACACATTTGTATATAATTCTCTCTTTGGAACTTCCTTAAGAACCAGTGCACATGAGACAACACACTCACATAATTCAATCATGCAGAACATCAGTCTCATTAGTTTATAGTTACATCCTATTTTGACCAAAAATGGCAATGTCTATCTTGCTCACCCACCTTATTCACAAGACTTGTCTCCAAATGGCTTTAGGCTGTTTCCAAAATTCAAATTCACCCTCAAAAGACGAAGATTTGCCACCATTGAGGATATTCAAAATAGTGTGACGAAGGTTCTAAAGATAATTCCAAAAATGCTTTGAGCAATGGCAGCGTCATTGGGATAATGGTATAGCTTCCCAACATGACTTCCTTGAAGGAAAGAACACCCATTTGGATGTGTAAGTTCTGGTATGTTTTTGGATTTTTAAATATATCAATCTTGTTTTCTGATAGTCACATCTCTTAGATGAGGGGAAGAAAAGTAAGCATGATATTAAATATAAATTTGAAATCTAACAATAACACCATTAAAAATATTACCCCACATGTGTTCACCTCTCACAAATCTTACATTATACACTTTTTAAAAGTAGAGTGCTAAGTGCAATGCAGCGTAGCAGTACAAATTTAAAAATCAGCACGTACATAAACAACTCATATGCTAACATGGAGAGCAAGTATAAAAACAAACATGTGTCTTGTGCCTTACCTGTAAACAAGAGTGTCATCGTAAGTACCATTGTACTGGATTTGAAACATCCGTATCCCAGGGATATTTCTTTGAAAATTAAATTTCAGTAGCGCTGTAGATGACGTTGCTTCTGCCACCACAATTTTGTCTTGACTTATTTTAGTATCACCATTGCTACTGCTTGTATTAGAACCTGACTTAGTAGACGTTGAGATATCTGAAGAACCAGGATCAGGCTCATGGATATGGTTGGTACTGTTTAGTAAGTGCGGAAGTTTAATTATATGAAGATCCATTGTTTGTGTTGCTTCCCCAGCAGGATTAGAAGCAATGCAGGTAAAAGCACCTGTATCCTTTACAGTTGTTATAAGAATGTCAAGGGTTCCATTATCATACACCAGCGATCTAGTTGCATTTGATATAAGCTTCCCTTCTGGAGAAATCCAATGAATTGCAGGCTCAGGATCTCCCCGGGCTTTACACCTCAGTGTTGCTCTTTGACCTTCCAGAACTCTCATCTCATGTGTATGGCGAGTAATCAGAGGAGGCTCACACAAAAACTCTTCTTCAGGTATTGACCAGAAATAGCGACCAGTTAATAGTGCAGGAGAAGCACAGGTCTCTAGGTCATCTTCTCTGGACAGACGTCTCAACCACAGTAATTCACAATTGCAATGCAAAGGATTTCCACCAAAGCTTAACGCGAACGTGGATGGGCTTATGATTCCTGAGGTTGCTAGTACCTGAGCTCTCTGGAAGAGAGGATCAGGTGGTAGCTTCTGCAATTTATTTGATGTTACATCTAGCCGAGTCATCTTGTGCAAGTGGGAGAAGGTCCCCTTAGGAATGTTATCAATCATATTGTGATCCAAGCTAAGAGTATGCAAGCTAACCATCTTCTCAACAGCATCCCAAGGAATTGTTTCTAGATTGTTATAGGACAGATCCAGCTCCTCAAGGGCAAAGACGTCATCAAATGCCGTCGAAGAAATCAAAGTCAGCTGGTTGTTGTTCAGAATCAAATGGTGGAGATTGGAAAGCCCGCTGAACATATCATTCGTGATTTTAGTCAATCTGTTGCTATTCAAATGCAAAGCCCTCAGATTTCTTAAGTCAGAAAAAGCATGAGGTGTAATAAAACTTATTGTATTCCTGGATAGAGTCAAGTCCACCAAGCTAGTCATATTGGCGAAATCCTTTCTTTTAATATTTGTAACAAAATTGTCTGCCAATCGCAGTTCCACAGTTCTTCTGTCAATGTTTGGTGGAACAAATAAAAGCCCTTTCTTGGCACAAAGGGTTGCAAGATTAGGGGACAAAATCTGACAGACACAGCGCTTTGGACAGAGCTGCGCCCTCACTGCGACGCCAATGAAAACCAGATAAAAAAGAAGGTTTTCCATTGTAGAATCAGACTGAAGAGCCTGTGGAAAAAGACAGAAATAATGTCAGCATCCAGTCATTAGATTAACTTTCATATTCTTATTAGAATAATTTCCTCCATGCAAATTAGAATACAAAAGCAATTTATTCCATCATTTAAAGAGTAATAAAAATCTACTCTGTACTGGAGAATAGAATTGATACTGTATTGGATACTCCAATCATAGCCTCATGGAGTTAAAAGCAAATAAGAAAATCAAAGAATTCAATGGATGGTTATAATTCAGTAAGTTAAATGTCGCTCTTAACGTGTATCTTGTATACTCTGTGATTTCCCAGAAGAGAGGCATTCAGCCCGCATTGAAGAGCAGTGTGTTGAGGAAAACCCTCCCCAACTACTGAAGGACATCTTGTTAGTCAAAGAAACTCAAAGGATTAAAGGCATAGGCAAAGATTTACAAATTGTTGCATTAGCCAGTCTACATAGAAAAAATAAGATGCAGGAGTTGTTATTTACTTTTGTGACAACCTCGGAGTGATTAATTTTCTTTATTTTACACTCGATCTCACTCTAGCACAACCTAGCATCTTAACTGAAAATACAGAATCTTATCCTCAAAAAAAGTTGGCTAAAAAACAAATAAAACCCGAGCTCCTTATATATTCATATTAAAGTGTATATTTATCAATGTACTTTATGAAAAATGACTGCCAGTAGCATTTAACATTTAGCATCTCTTAACAATTTAATACAGTTATATTTTACTCAAATTTAATTTTTAAATAATAATAAACACTTGGACAACTTTGGTCTTTAGCTAGACATTAAACATTGCTATTAAAATTAATCCTTTAAAATAAAAACACCAACATATATGTGATTAGAAGTTCACATAAATTTCATAAATACCAAGAGAAAATACTTGGAGAAAAAGTCATCCAATTTTCTAATTGAATGAAAATATGAAATTAAAGAAACAGCATCTAATGTCATAAATAAGAATATTATTATAATTTTGAATTATGTTTTGCCTTGATTAAATGTGAACACAATAAATATAAATGATCATTCTCAACAAGTAGTCTCTTCTGTTCCTGACCGAATAATTAGGACTTCACAGACTCTAGACAATAAGCAACAGGTACACTGCTTTAAAAAATTATAAAACATGTTTTCAGACATTAGAAAATAGGAAACACACATTGTGACCCCTAAAAGAATTGAATTGATGCAAATAAAAGTTGTGGTTGGTCCTAGAGACAATTTCCATATCATAGCACAAATAGTGTAAGTAAAGTCTTGCAAAGTTGAAGAAACATTTCAGAGTGCAGACGGTTTCAAGCGGCTAGAAAATGTAGAAGCAAGAGGAGAGAGCTCCCAGTAAAATAAAATTTTTGGCAACTTCATATTTTCTCCTCTTATCGTGATTTTGTTCATTGATTGAATTGTGAAGATCTTTTAAATAATTATATACACTGATAATTCACACAGAATGCTTTTGGCTTGGATCATCAGTAAATGCTTCAAATTCTCTTCACTTTCAGCAAGCAAATGCATCTGCTTAGCAAAGGTTATTAATGAGTCTTCCTCCAATCCTGATTCCAACTTCTTCATATAGTTCAGATTCTCAGATTAGTTATCAACATACAAATTGAGTAAACATGGTGAAAGGACACAACACTGATGTACATACTTTTCCTGATTTTATCACACCGTATCCCCTTATTTTCTTTGGGCCATTATCTCAAGGTTAATGGAGAGATTCAAAAGAAGCACCACTAAGTGTTCTGAAACTCCCATTCTTTGCAGTGTTATAAAGAGCTTTTTATGATCTACACAGCTGAATATGTTCATAGATTTGATAAACACAGGTAAGCACCTCTCTTGCAGTCTGTGTTTTGAAATAAGATGGATCTGAAATCTGTTTCACAGCATCTTCTTGAGCATCTGGCTTGGGATTCTGGCAGTTCCTTTCCCATATTCTGATGCACTCGTTTTAAAATTATCTTGAGCAAAACTTTACCTGCTTGTGATATTATGTACTGTTCCATCATCTCTGCATTCAATTCAGTCTCCTTTCTTTGGAATGGGCACACATTTGGATCTCTTCCAATAGGTTGATCAGGAATCTCTCTTCCAAGTTTCTTGACATAGACTCCTGATTGCCCCCCCATTGCATCCATTTGGTGAAACATCTCAAATAGCACCCTATCAATTTCAGGAACCTGAAGGGAAACTTGGGTTTCTTCCTTCAATAGACTCTCTTGATCATGTACTGTGTCCTAAAATGGTTGATTGTCAACCAATTTGTTTCCATACAGTGATTGTATATTCCTTCCATCTAAGTTTGATGCTTCCTGAATCTTTCCGTTTTTGCTTTGCTCATAGAATCCTTCAATGTTTCGGCTTGAAATTTTGTTCTTTTGGCTTGGAAAAATGTGTACATGTTCTTCCCTTTGGGTTTTATAATGCCAGGTCTTTACACATTTCATTCAATACTTTGCTTTGCTTCTTGAACCACCTTTTAAAATCTTCTGTTCAGTTCTTGACTTCCTCGTTCCTTCCAATTCAATGCTCAGGGCAAATTTCAAAATCTCTCCCACATTGGTTTTGGTCTCTCCTGTCTTTTAAATGAATTTTTGTTTCTTCATGCATTATGTCCTTGATGTCATTCCAGATGGCTGGCCTTTGGTCCTTAGTATTAAATGTGTCGATTTTTTTTTTGGAAACGGTCTCTAAATTCAAATGGAATATTCTCCAGGTCCCATTTTAGCTCTCTCAGCCTTGTTCCACTTTCCTTCCCCTTCAACGTGAATTTACAAATATGCCATGGATGGTCTGCTCTAGAATAGTACTCTAGCCTTGTTCTGACGGATGATATTGAGCAATTCTAGCAAATCTTTCCACAAATACAGTTGACTTGTAGTCTTTGTAGTCTGTTCATTGATGTCCATGTGTATATTCGCCATTTATTTGATTGAAAAGTGTATTGTAAAGAATAAACCATTTACCTTCAAAAAGTCTTTCATTCAATCTCCATTTATCATTTCTATCACTGATGCCTTATTTCTAAACCCTGGATCCTTTTCCATTTCTAACATACAAATTTCAATTACCATTATTTATCAATGCCCTCTGATGGCATTTTGCTTAATTGAAGACTTCAGAAGTTAGTAAAAATTTTCAATTTCCTCATCTTTTGCATGAGTTGTTGGTACGTAAATTTGCCTAAGAGTTATATTACTTGGTCACCCTTGTAAGCATATAGATATTATCCCATTACTGGCAACATTGTGTTTCAGGGTTGATCTTGAACTGTTCTTTTGAATGATGAATGTCAAGTCGGTCCTCTTCAGTTTGTCATCCCTGGCCTAGTAGTCCACAGGATTGCTTGATTAGAAATGACCTATACTATTTCAGCTTACTCATACCTAGAATACTTACTCTTATTCATGTGTTCCATTTCATTTTTTGAAAACGTTCCTATATGTACGAGTCATACATGCACATTCCAATTATTAGTGCATGCTTGCAGCTTTTCCCATATTGATTATAACTCATTGCCAAGAAGACCAGAATTCTGACAACTGGGCCAATAGTTAACAACAGAATAAATGGAGAAAAAAAATTGAAATTGTCAAGGAATTTGTCTTGCTTGGATCCATAACCAGTGCTCATGGAAACAGTCAAGAAACCAAAGACACGTTACATTGGGTACATGTGCTGCACAAGACCTCTTCAGAGTGTTGAAAGCAAGGCTGCTGACGACTCAGGTGTGCCTGACTCAAACCAGGCTATTTCCTGTCTTCCCCTAGACATATGGAAGTCTGACATTGAATAAGGAAGATTGAAGAAGAATGGATGCATTTGAATTGTGGTGCTGGAGAAGAATATTGAAAGTACCATGGACTGCTAGAAGGACAAACCAAACTGTCTTGAAAGAAGTACAGCCAAAGTGTTCCTTAAAGGAAAGGATAGCAAGGCTTCTTCTTCTTACATCCTTTGGCCATACTGTCAGGAAAGATCCGCCACTGGGGAAGGGCATCATGCTTGGTAAAGTAGGTGGGCAATGACAAGGAGGAAGCCTTAAGCCAGATGGTTGGACATAGCAGCTGACAGAATGGGCTCAAGCGTCAGAGGGCCTGTGAGGATGGCAGCGGATGAGGCAGTGTTTCATCCTCGGAGGCAGCAGGCCACTATGGTTCAGAACTGAGTCGATGGCACCAACATTTTAGTAGCTGTCATATATTTTCATATTTTTAATTCCATTCCAATCCAATGTGTGCTTCTTATGATGCTTTTAATTTACTTATTAAGTAAATTGGTAGAAACCAATGTACTAATTTTCATCAAGAAACATATGTATCACAGGCCATAGAGTAAATTTACAATAAAATGTAGAACATTATCTTGACTCTGTGCTACTTTCAGTTTAAGTGGGATAAGTGAAGAAAAATCATTTAAATGGCAAGTAGTGAGTTTTTCTAATACACATATGCAGTGTTGTTAGTTATATAGTATGATCCTTTGATCCACATTCCTCCATTGTGAACTGTGGGTCTAGGCCTATTTGAAGACTGGTATGCTAATGAGGGAGGATTAAGATTGCATACATTTTGGTCCCCACCTTACTACGTCACCACTTTAGTTTCCTTGGGGATGTGTTCTAAAGATTAGTCACCATTCTTTGATGTCTGAGGATATCAAACACCTTGCTAAAATAAGCTGTTACCAGAATTTAAGAACCCCACCCTCTGCTTCAGCTTACTTGATAAAAACAAGAAGTTGGCATCATCTAACTGTTGAGACTATACCTGGTCCACTAAAAATGTTCCAAAATGATTATTATTTCCTCTATCCAATATTTTGTTACTAGAAGGCAAAAAAACCACACCTCCATTAAAGCCCTGGACCTGGGTCAGACTCCCCCATTTCCAACTAAGCTTGAACAGAAGGTTAGTGCTACGTCACACATTGAGGAACATCAATCAGAAGCCAATGACAGATCTCAGAAGAAACCGATGGCCCACTAGAATAGAC